GCCGCCATCCGCCATCTGATCAGGAAGCCTCGACAGAGCGCCTGCAGGCGAACGACGAGGGCCTCGCTGTTCCGCCACAGCACGCCGCGACTGTACTGGGCCGAAACGCTGCCGACCACTTCCTGCAGGGGGGAAAGTGGCGCAGCGAGCTTGTAGCCAATCGCAGATCAAACTTTCCAAGCACAGAAACACTGTTCTGGTTTGACGAGGAAGTGAGCAGGTAAGCCTCAGGTGTGTCTCACCTGTATGTCGTGGCGATCCAAGAAGACGCTGTTGTGCACGAAGCCGGGGGGCCGCTCCCAGCCGCCCTGCAGTCTGCTCAGGTGGAAGAAATAAACGGAGCCGTCCTGCAGGCGGACGCGAACCCACTGACTGCGGTTATCTCCTGAACACACACACACACAGGTCACACGCACACACGTGATTCTCTCAGTGTGTGTCTGTGTCTGTGTGTGTGTGTGTCTGTGTCTGTGTGTGTGTCTGTGTGTGTGCGTGCCTCACCTGTGCGTGTGCGGCGTGCCATCAGGGCGCTCAGCTCTCTCTGATAGTCTGCAGCACAGTCAGGTAGAACACCGTGAAGCTCCGCCTCCGGCAGAGACAGCACCCGCAGCGTCTGCTTCGCCCTGTTCTCCTTTACGGCCTGATTCACCGCGGCAACGGACAGACACACTGACCGACACACAATCAATAATCAACACACGGATCAATAATGAACACGCTGACAGGAAGTTCTGTCCTTTAGTCGTTTCTTCTTGTGCAACTCGGAGCGATGTTCACACCTGTCTCCTGGCACACCTTCAGTGATGTCACTGCTGACAGCTAACAGGTAAGAGGAAGACGCTTCGCTCTCACAACCTTCCTCCGTCTGACACAAAGCGCCGCAGGTGCGTCGCAATGATCACAGATATCATCAAACACAAACGACGGCGGTCCAGCCTCTGATCTTTCTAACCCACATGCTTAAAAACTGAACAGGTGTGGTTACAGGTAAATGACTCTGTGACTCACACTTTAGAGCTCTCTGACTCTGCTGATTGGCCGTCCTCACAGCCTCCTGGATATCAGCCAACCACAGCTCGGCTCCCGGGTCTCTGCTCACCTGGTTGGACAGGAGGGGGACATGTGACTGAAAGTTTAAACCTCACCTGGATTCTACCTCCAGAGGGTCACGATAAAGACTAAAGTCAGTTTCTGAGGGACGGTTGAGGTGATGGCTCGGTTACCTGAGCAGTCACACCTGAGCAGTCACACCTGAGCAGTCACACCTGAGCAGTCACACCTGTGCAGTCACACCTGTGCAGTCACACCTGTGCAGTCACACCTGTGCAGTTACCTGAGCTTTGATCTGCCTGGCTTGGCTCAGCAGGGTCAGGTACTTGCAGGCATTGGCAGGTGAAACCTCGTCCACGCCGCAGGAGGGCAGCAACAGGGCGGAGATAAGCCGCCGAGGGTCTCCGCTCATCACGGCCTTGTTTATTAGGCCAACAGCCAGGAGCTCTGAGGGTCACAGGGGTCAGAGGTCGCAGGGTCAGCTCAACAGAATTCAAAGAAGTTAATATTTGTTGTTTATAATGACATCACTGTGTGTTTGTAACGATGTCATCGCGTTGTCGTACGCTGTTGTTCGTCCTGCGCCGAGCCGTTCACAGCGGCGATTCCTTCCTGCAGCTGGTTCCAGGTAAGCAGGTCTCGGCCCACCTGTTGTTTCACACCAGCCAGAGTCTCAAAGTACCTGTGCGACAGTGACATCATCAGGGACGTCATCATCAACAGTGACATCATCAACAGGTAAATGGGTAAGAGGCGGTACCTGTCGAGCAGCGCGGGCTCTACATCAGAGAGCCCTGCAGACGAACTGACCAATGAGGAGCTGAACTGCTGTAGGTGTCCCGCCTCCAGACCCTGATTGATGAGAACAACGGCTGACAGCATCTCCACGGCAACAAAGAGCTCCTCCTCCTGCAGTTCTCCCTGGAGGAGACAACAGGAAGTGCCAGCTGAATGACAGTGACGCCAGGGGCGGAGCTAGAGGAGTTTTCTTAGGGTGGCAAAATCAGGGCTTTTTTCAAACACACATGCAGGTGGTTACATGTGGTTAAATGATTCAAATGCAGTAAGCATTCACATTTGTCATAGAAATATAGTCCATAACTTAACTGTTTTCTGTAGCCCCCATAATTAAACACTTTAGTGACATAAAACATGTGATGTTATATACTGTATAGCCTGTATAATAAATATGTAGCCCAGTAAGTATACAATCAGAAAGCTACACAACATGGGGCGCTTCATTTACAAACACAAGTCTAACTTAAGTTTCACTGTTTATTGTTAGAAAAAAGGTAAAATC